CAGGACCAAATCTATTACCTTACTCCACGATATTGCAGGCATGCATAGATGCCGGCGATACGGAAGATTGCAAGGAAGTACAAGGCCGAAGGCAAATGTAAAGATCCATCTATGCAAGGCTACATGCAGGCATTCTGTGCTCAAACATGTCGTTTTTGCGGGTGGTAACACCGTTGGTCATCGGAAATAAACTTTACCATTTTGCAACAGTTCCGCTCTCGTCTTGCACCTTTTCCGTTTTTTCGGATCTTATTGTGTCTAGAAAATCGTCAAATCTTCTGGCTAGAAAAAAACCAGTTCTGTTCCGCCCGCTATCGCGCATATTACAGTAGGGCTCAGCGAAAGTGGAGGACCTGTGGAACATCGGCTGATCTACTCCACAAAGCACCTCACTATTGGATATGTTAGAATGACCTGAGGTTTCGCAGGCTCTCCAGTTTCATTGAAGTCCATCATGGATGCGCGTGATGCGAAGCTGAGATGGTATATTTATCACAACTCTGTAAACACCCAGCATTTTTCTTGAATTCTGATAATTTAGCGGTGATAGGGTTTATGCTGTTAGCCTTAAAATAAAAATGAAACATGCTCACCAATAACAAGTGAGGACCTAACGCTTATCTTTGATTTGAATTCACATTATTCGAAAATTCTTAAGTTTAGCGGTTTGGCGACTTCTGGTCCTATTGCTATTAGGTTAGAATGGGAGTGTCATTCGCCAATCTGTTCAAGCTAAACTTCAATATCGAAACAATGTCCCCGTCCTACCACAGAACATTCGTCAGTAAAACACTCTAGATCAACGCAGGCTGCGCAACGGAACGGCGACTTTCACGTCCAAAGACGCTCTGACAGACTGTCGCCTAAACCTACACCCTGAAATAATGCAGTAGTAGTTTTTTTTGGCAAGCTGCCCACTATTGAATCTAGTTCGTTGCGGACATTTTCTCCCTATCCGCCACCTGGGGTCGCGCCACGTAGCCTCGCCACCAACCGGCTCGAGATCTTTCAGTGAGAGAGGACCCTCAGTGAAAGAGATCCGTGGTTGGACAGCGGTAATTCCAAAAACTGATATCATATTCGTAATCAGGCGCCTTTGACTCCTACA